GCTAATTTGCAAGAATACCCTCCAAAATCTAAGCAGAAAGGTCAATTTTAATGACAGATTTTGAAAGTTTATACATTTTTAAAAGATTTTATTTGAGAGAGGAGAGAGAGCACAAGCTGAGGGAGACAAGCAGGCTCCCAGCACTCTGGGATCATGACTTGAGCCGAAGGCAAATGCTCAACTGACTGACACACCCAGGCGCCCCTTGAAAATTTAAAGTTCACATTTATAATATACAGTGCTTCGCCCAAACACAGCTTTTTTGTATTTTTCCATTATTTTAAAATGAAACATCGTAAGTTATATTTTTTTCAGGTTATAAGAGGGCAAAGAATTGGGCTCAATGATCTTTGGCTTTTTTTTTTTTCATGAGATAAAAGTACTGATTATCTTTTTCTCGGTGCTATGAATTCTAATTTCTCAGTTCATGAGTAGACTATAGCAGAGAGAACAGAGGCTAAGGAGAAGAGCACCATTTAGCTTGATTTCCCTTTCGGTGGTATTCTGTAATACTTAATGCGTTAAAGCTGATGGACACAAAGAAATAATTTCATAATGCCTTTTTATTTTTTTTTAGGTTTTTTTAAAATTTTATTTATTCGACAGAGAGAGAGAGATCACCAAGTAGGCAGAGAGGCAGACTGAGAGAGAGGTGGAAGCAGGCTCCCCGATGAGCAGAGAGCTCGATGCGGGGCTCGATCCCAGGACCCTGGTATCAAGACCTGAGCCGAAGGCAGAGGCTTTAACCCACTGAGCCATCCAGGCGCCCTCATAATGCCTTTTTAAAGCAAAACATGTTATTTCTGTTTTATTGATTATCCTATAAAATACCAAATTAGAACGATCCTTATTCTAATTGCTTTCAAGTGATCGAGGCAGAGATTAGCCAACCTAAAGTGTATCCAAAAGGATGCATGTGTGAGGCGGGCTCATCCCAACAGTATTGCAGGGGGAAATCTCCAGTGATCTCACACACATTCACTAACCTATGCAATCCCCAAAGGCTAAATGACCATCCTCACCCCGACGTCTCCAATGTCTGGAGTCTGTTCTACTCAGGAAGTAGCACCTCTTGTAATCTGGAGGGACTCCATAGGAAAACAGGCAGCCACACACACAACACACCACTGTTAACAAACGTGTAATTCTCTCCAAACCCTAAATCCTGGCCCTTTTATTGTAAAACTGATCCATAATCACAGTAAGGTCACCTCCGTCCTCCATTCCCCGTTTGTAAACAGAAGCGGGAGAAAGCATCCCACCTCAGGCTGGGAAGAATTACGAAATGGAGCTGGTCAACTCAACTGTCTGTTTTAGCGCATGAAGGGCAAAGATCCTTAACTCCACCAATCGGATGATGGATTCTTCCATTCGAGTACATGTTTATGTTCCTTGGTGATTCCCAGCTTTTGTGACCAAATGGAACCATAAACAGAAGGACAGAAATGAGTCCCCATCTCCCCACCTGCCAAGGACATTGGCCTGAAGATTACAACTGACCACTGCTCCGTTTTCAGTCACAGATTGAGCAAAAAATACAAAAAGGATAATTCAGAGAATTTTGACTGTCCAGTCTGAATGTGGAACCTGGCTTAAGAAATCAAGGTTTGGGGGCACCTGGGTGGCTCTGTCATTAAGCGTCTGCCTTCAGCCCAGGTCATGATCTCAGGGTCCTGGGATCGAGCCCCACAGCGGGCTCCCTGTTCGGCAGGAAACCTGCTTCTCCCTCCCCCACTCCCCCTGCTTGTGTTCCCTCTCTCACTGTGTCTCTGTCAAATAAATAAATAAAATCTTTAAAAAAAAAAAAAAGGGAAAGAGAGAAATCCAGTTTGCCAGACTCTCTGTGAGCTTGTCATGGGTCATTCCACCCTCTCTGACACCTAATACTCTTTCAAAGACAGACTTTTAAAACCGCATGATGGGGAATAAGTGAGAGGCTTTATTTACCACTTGCATTTGCGTAGTCTAATAATTCCTGTCCCCGCAGGGGCCAAAGCCTCCAAGTCTCAAAATTCAACCTAGCAAATAATCAATACCATTGTCCCCCAGAATTTACATGTGTAAGATCGTAAAGAATTGACTGGAAGAAAAGGTCCCTTCCATTTTATAGAAATATACCAAATAAAGCCAGGACTTGTGCCTCAGTGCCCCTAAATGTTAGGCTTCAATAATGAAGGTCTTTTTTCTTACATTCCATATGATCTGATAGAAGTGATACTCAATTAGCGTAATGTCGTCTGAGGTCTGAGTACTTAACTCAGTAAAGGACGGGTAGAGAGAGAGAGAGAGAGAGAGAAAGTAAACTGATTATTGAATAAGCCGCAGGCATCTGATATAAACATCATTTAGATAGAAAAAATGTTGATAGCTTTTAATTCATTAGTGATCAGCACTGGGGGGGGGCGTGCGTCAGTATAACCCCCCAAATGTCCACATGCGCACTCAAGAAAGCTCAAGATGCAAATCCTAACTAATGCAATGTATGAAGTGGTCTCATTTGAGCCACCTGCAATTTATACTGTTGTGTCTATTCGACACGAAGACAATTTAAAACTGCAAGGCGAACAAGCCACTGTATTTCTGGAGAGCCCCCCCAGAGTTTACTGCCAAAATAGTCACTTGGTCTATTAACAACCAGACCCATCTGGTGTAGTCACTATCTGATACCTGAGGCAGACCACGACAATGACGCGGTTAAAGGTCAAACTGGAGACAAAGTCGATGGCCCAAGATATTCCCCAACTTGACAGCGTGCAATCAAAACCAGGCAGCATGCCACCTGTGGGGGAACACTTGCGCAAACACAGACACGGTCCCTGCCCTCACGGAGCTTCCAGGACCAGGACAACAGTCCAGTCGCTAACCTCACAAATGTGCCACAAACTGCTGGGAAGGACCTGCGGTGCTACAGGAGCCTGGAAAGGCAGATGGGATTACTCAGAGCTCAGCAACTGGAGTTTCACAGGGTGAACAGGAGAGGTAAGAGCTGTATGCTGAGTCATTCTTAATTAGGGAGTTCTTTTTAAAAGGACTTTTGAAAACCTGTGTAATAAATTTTGCTAGCTGAAATGAAAAACGACACCATTTTCCAAGGATACATGTAAGTGTATTGATTTGTCTCCAAATTGATAACTGGGCAGTGTGCCAAAAAGCTCATGATATTCTAGATGTTATTTAAGACAATTTTTTTTATAAAGGAGGATGCTTGGCTGCTTTAAGATGGTGGCAACTAGAAAAGGAGGAGGACAAGGTTATGGAAGAAGGACAAAAAGAGAATGGAAGGAGTATTTTTAAAGGGACAAATTCAAGTTTACCAGGAAGAAATTAAACATCCTAGTCCAGCATGAATTGTTAAGAAGACCTGAAGTAGTAAAAACCAGTAAAAAAAAAACAAAAAAAACTGTGCCCAATCGTAAGCTTTTGTCAATTACACCTTAAAACTACTTTCACTACTGGATTCTAAATACAGGGTTATGTGGCCCCTTGGGCAGTAGTTGGCATCAAAAGGTGATGTGCAGTTACGTATTAAAATGTGACTTAGACCTCAATAAGACTGCACCTGACTTATGCCCAAAGCTTAGCCCCTGTCTTAGAAAATTAGCTTACTAGCAGTCTGTACTCAAGTAGCATCTACAGCTCTAGGGACCATGGGTTTTACAAGTAGTTATTAGTTAAAGACTAGAAGGAATCTAATTAAGAGCAGTCTCTCAGCCCAAACTAGACTAGGGCAGCTAAAGAGGGCACAGCAATGAGGTCACAGTTCTGTGAAATTTACCCAGATTCTGGTGGGGGAGGGGATGTTTTTCACACTGTAAACATCTGAAGTTCCTCACATTCTTTATCCTCAGATAAAACACAGGTTGTAAACCCACGTAAAACACAGGGCTTTAAAAAATACGTATTAAGTTACCCACCACCTTCCCAACCCAAGTAAAACACGGGGTTTTTGAAAAAAAATATATGAAGTATGATTAAGTTATCCTCCATCTTCCTACAAGGATATGGCAAAACAGATTAGGTGACGCCTTGCTAATGAAAACACGTGCTGGAAAAATAGATCTAGAATGCAACGATCCAAACAAGTCCCAGTCTTGGCGGCTGTAAGTGGCCAAGAGTAAATATTTCAGCCTTGAAAGACTCAAGACTATAAAATACAAAATTTCTAGGAGGCTCAGCACTGTCTCCATAGACACAGGAGCGCAAGCAATCCTCGCTGAAGCCTCTGACCGCATCCTTGGAGAACTTCTAACTATTCCCGGGTATGTTTACCCCTTGAGTCCACAGGCAATGAACGGAGCGAAAAGGAGGACCCTGCCTTGTTGACGGAACCTGTCATTCCTTTTCGAAGGGCAGCGTCTACCCAGGTTTTCTTTGGCTCGGAGCGAGCTACACCCCAGGCTTTCTCTGCATCGGAAGGCGGTGTCGGCTCGAGCCGCTGCCGCAGCAGGGCTGGGTACCAAACCCGCTCTCTCCAGGCACAGCTGGTGCCAAAGACCAGACGCGGCGGGGAACCCACGGGTGGCGGCCTCGCCACGCTGCTGCGACACGGGTCCTGGCCCAAAAGCTGACTTTCCGAATCCGGGAGGAAGAAAGAGGGGCGGGGGGCTCAGGACCCTCGGCGGATGGGTCACTTCCCACCCCACCCCACCCCCGGACTCCCCCGCGCAGCCCGGGCATCTCGGGCATCTCAGGGCTGGGTCGCTCCCACCGGAAGAGTGAGGAGAAAGGCTCAGTTAGCAGGGGGCGGGGGGCGGATTTTATTACTGCGGATGGCGCAGTCGCCTCCCCCGGAGACCCACGACAAAGATGCAAGCCCGCCGCGCTCGCAGCTGCTCTGGTCCCGCCCCGACACATGAGACCCTGGAAAGCTAGAAAGAGGGGTGCGTGCTCCCGAGTTTGCAGATGGGCTGGACGGGCCGGGAAGTTCTCGCAGGCGGAAACCAGGGAGACCACCCTCCCCCACCCCCGTCCCCGGGGCAGGTGGCCCGGCCCGCCCGTACCTTGGTGGCGCGGTCGGCGGCAGCGATGGCCGGATCTCCCGGCGCGCTGGGCGCCGCCTCCGCCGCAAGGCCGCCGCCGCTGGGCTCGGGCTCGGCCGGCGTCGCGCTCCCCGCCTCCGGCTGCTCCGGGTTCCGCTGCTCCGTGGAGCTCCCGGCACCCATGGCTCTTCGGCGGTTCTCCCGCGCCCCGCTGCCCGGCTACACCTTCCCCCAAACGGCAGGAACGTGGAGAAGAGCGAGAAGCCGTGCGCCCGCGGGGTCCCAAGAACGCCTTCCGCTCCCGCGGTCCGACTCCGAACGCGCCCAGACTGCGAATGAACGAGACGCGCTCGCGGCAAACTCCTTAAAAGAAAAAAAAAAAAAAAAAAGAAAAAAAAGCCACCTCTCTGCCTCCTCCTCCTCCTCCCCCTTGTTTTTCCCTCGCTTCATCACATGAGCCCAGCCCCAGACACGCCTTGCAGCAGCATCTCCTCCCAGGCTGTAGGACCAGAGGCGCAGCCCCAGCCTCCAGCCAGGGTCCAGGCGGCCCGCCCACCCCGACCCCCGGGCGCTTCCCGCCCACCCCGACCCCCGGGCGCTTCCCATTCCTAAATTGGGACACGAGCTTGGGGCGTGAGGGGGGGGACGACCCAGGGTTGCAGAAGGGGAGAGGAGGGCAGAAGGCCCCTGGGGAGATTGGATTTGCTGAGGTTTATTAAATGATTGATAACCCAAGGCAGAGCGTCTGCGGCAGCACACTTTCCATCCGCCCAGCAAGCGAACCCAAATCCCCAACTGCTTTCCTTCAGCCTGGGTGAGCCTCCGAAGGCTGGTCCCTGCCTCCTCCCCAAGAGCAGGAGAAAGGCGAGCGCTCCTTGGCTTTGCGGAGTCTGACCATATTAGGACACCTCGCGTGGCAGGAGCTGGGAACCGAGAGGTTAATGCAGTCAGGCCACGGATGAGGTGGGCCAGGCGGCCCCACGCTCGCCTATCATCCGGAACCAGTGATGTCAGGCGATGCCATCAGCGACACGGGCTGCCCTCCTTCCCTGGGGAATTCAGGGGAGTGAGGCTGTGACTGGAAATGGGCCTGTCCTCCTTCGAGGGCGTGATGCTGGAGGTCCAGGCCACTTCTCCCTCGCGCCATGCTGAGACATGACGACATAGATCTGTCCACGGACCATCAGTAATTCTCCACAGATACAGGCTTCCAGGGGATCAGCCTAAGGGGCTCGCCTTCCTACCCTTCATGCTCCTGAATACTTGTTCCATGAATACACAAGGCAGCCAACAATTATTTGAACGAAATCAAATTTTCAGCTGGATTACTTGGCACGCAGGCATGAAGGTGGTGGGGCCAAAAGAAAAATTATCCCCAGTTTTCAGTGGCAAAAAATTGCCTTAAATTTCACAAATAGTTGGAAGAATGAAGACACTTGGAATATCGACCCCGGATACCAGAGAAATATCCCCTGCTCAGATTTCCTACAAGTTAGTACAGAATTGACGCAAGCGGTTAGTTCAGTAGTAGAATATTTTGTGCCTGATTAACTGTGGCTTGTAGTATAATGGCATATGGCATATGGTTATCCAGCATAAAATATTTCTACATTTAGCATTTTTATTTGAAGAAGCACATGAAGGCCACTTTCTCTAGAATATATTGCTTCTTAAGCAGTATTACGCCAAATGGCTGGTTTTCATCATTTTTAAGCATTTCATCCATTTCAACTTAAATTGTTTACTACTTGGGAAACATCCCAGTACTTACTATGTATGTGCCAGGCGCTGTTAAAAGCACTTTGCATATCTCATCATATTTAGTCCTTACACCAACTCTATGAGGTAGAGCCTAGGATTCTCATTTTACCAATGGAGTGGAGGAAAGTAGGCCCAGAGACATTAAATCAGGTGCTCAAGATTTCACAGCTGGTAGGCAGAAAAGAGCAAGGATTCTTCCTACACTGAGTCTCTGTTCAACACCTTACTCCCCTTCTGTAGGAAGCTTCCAGTGTGTTCTCTCTTCTGAGGAATATCTGTAAAAAAGTGGCATTTAGGCCTCACATGAGGGTTAAAAATGCTATTAAAGCCTATCTCAGAATGACTAAGGTCAGCACATATGAAAATGTATCAATATGTAGTACAAACACTATCAAAATGTCCCATTCTGTGAGATTATAATTACTCAGTTCTTGGGAAATTCTTAACAAAGCTTTTCATATCACCTTTCAAATTTTCAGAGAAATATTACAAGGTCAAGGATTTCAAGCCAACACTACACAAGCCACATCATCAGCCTAGATTAGCAACTGCTTGCTTTGTGTTTATTTTTCAGGCCATGAAAATGCTCATATTCTGATTTTTTTTAAAGCAAAATCCTTTTTTTTGGAGATTTTATTTTTATTTAGTTTATTTATTTAAAGATTTTATTTATTTATTTGACAGAAAGATAGACAGCACAAGTAGGCAGAGAAGCAGGCAGAGGGAGAGGAAGAAGTAGGCTCTCCATTCAAGCCCGATGCGGGACTCTATCCCAGACCTTAGCCAACACAGCTGCTTAACTGACTAGGCTACCCAGGTGCCCTAAGATTTTATTTTTATGTAATCACCACACCTACTGTGGAGCTCGAACTCACAACCCTGACATCAAAGAGTCACATGCTCCACCAACTAAGCCAGACAGGTGCTCCAGCGAAATCCTATTTTAAGAAATACACAATTTCTAGTCATCCCTCATCTGTCTGAAACAGCTCCCCGATTATCATATTAAGAATCATAGGCCGGGGCGCCTGGGTGGCTCAGTGGGTGAAGCCTCTGCCTTTGGCTTGGGTCATGATCTCAGGGTCCTGGGATTGACCCTCACCTCAGGTTCTCTGCTCGGCAGGGAGCCTGCTTCCCCCCCATCTCTGCCTGCCTCTCTGCCTACTTGTGATCTCTTTCTGTCGAATAAATAAATTAAAAAAGAAGAATCTTTAAAAAGAAGAAGAAGAAGAGGCTCTTGGGGCACCCGGGGCGCTCAGTCGGTTAAGCGTCTGCCTTCCATTCAGGTCATAATCTCGGGGTCCTGGGATCAAGCCCTGAATCAGGCTCCTTGCCCAGCGGGGAGCCTGCTTCTCCCTCTCCCTCTGCCTGTAGCTCCCCGGCCTGTGTGCTTGCGCTCTCTCTCTCTCTCTCTCTCTCTGTGTCAAATAAATAAATAAATAAAATCTTAAAAAAAAAAAAAAAAGAATGACAGGCTTTTTTGTAGATTCACACAAGCACCTTTGGTTTCTGGACTGCCTAAAGAATCCTTTTCCATCTTACTTGTAAACTGGGGAGCTACTCTCTGTTAAGTTATTTTTATTAAGAAGAGTAGTTGTACTACTTATTATCCCCAGCAATGCCATGTCCCAACCTTTTGGATATACCACTTAGAACATTCAATATAATAGGACATATGCTATTCAGAACACTACATTCATTTCTTTCATTCATCCATTTTTTCCCTAAGATCTCATTGTTTTAAGCAATCTCTACACCCAACGTGGGACTCAAACACAACCCCGAGATCAAGACTCACGTGCTCTACCCACTGAGCCAACCAGGTGCCTGATTCATTTCTTTTTCAAAAGCTGTTTATCGAGTGCCCATTCGGTGCCAAGATTCTAAATCAAGTCACCAAGGTTTGCTTTTCTAGGGTTTTGGAGACACCTTTAGAATTGCTTGGATTAGTGTCAGCGATAGAGAGAAGGCAGCTGTTCTCAGTTTTCCACTTCTCAGTCCCGGGCTGTCGGTTACCCCAATTTCTCGCCAGCAGCCCCTTCTCTCCCAAACAGCAGGACACAGGTGTCCCACACATCCTCTCCCATGGGGCAGCTGGTGGTAGAGTCGTTTCTCTGTGAGAGTTGATACTCTCATAAAAACAGCTTGAAATTTCTCAAAAACAAATACACATGGCCGGTACAGCAGGCTGAACTTGTATGCTTCGTGTCTAACTTCTCCAGAAAGACGGGTCACACGAGATTTACCAATAAAAGTTAAAGTCCTAACTAGGCATCTTGCGCACACACCAAAACCTCTTCGACTATGTTTTAAATGAATTCACAACTGTGAAACATGTTGTATCAGCCTTAATACAGCCCCTTGAAAAGGCAATCATAATTATAATTATTAAAACAATTTAAAACCAACCCTTAACTCTACCCCCACAGATTCATTCTCTAGCTGCAAAGCCTTCAGGCAATTTCACTTAGAACACGGAAACTCTCCAACCTTGAAACTATCACGTATAACTTCATTGTATTCTCTAAATAAGAAGCCTACTTTTTTTCTGAGCTAATTACTTACTTCAAGATATCTAAATCACCTAAGAACCCAATTCCTCCACTCCTCTCTTGCATTTACTAACTGTAAACCAGAAAAACCTAAGAATTAACAATTTTACTTTATTCATGACTTACTAATCAACATTCATTCATACAGGAGCTACAGAAAAAGTTCAATGTACAGATGAAGATCAAAGGTCAACCACCTGTAGACCTACATCATAAATACAGGCAAATGCTAAATTTCTAAATTTCAAGAAATCTATTTCTTTGGATTAACTATAAAGCCAGCTCTATCAGTTTCATTCACTAAGATTTAAGATTGCCTTCTGGCCCAAATCTAAGATTACAAGATTACACTAAAGTAGCAAAAAAGATGGCGGGGTGATATATATATATATATATATATATATATATCATATATATATAATATA